TGTCAAACTATAAAATTCCTTTTCTTCCCTTGATACCCAAGAGCCAGCACTTATGTTTGCTTCCTCAGTGAGATAACACGTGGGATTATCAGGAGAGCCGAGATGGCTTTGCTGCTGTCACCCAGAGCACAAGGTGTGGCCCCAGCCAGGCAGCCGCTCTCGCGCAGGTCTGGAGGTTGCTCTGCTCTCCAGGATCCCCTGGGGCTCCCTTTCATCAGGCAGGTGAAAGAAAACTCCCTGATCTACGAAACAAGGATCCCAGCAAGCCCAGCTCTACACAAAGAGTGATCCTCCACGCCGCAGTTACGCAATAAATCTGTCACTTGTTCTACACTGGCTGTTTCAAGAGGATGTTAAAACCTCCACCACCCACGTTTGCTTCCCCCAGCAGCCGCGCAGCTCACGCCAGGGGTCTGTCAAGAGCGCAGCAGGCTGACACCGAACCGACACGCCGCCGACCCACCTCTTGCGCTGCTCCAGCTCCCAGTCCAGGCGGGCCAGGGTCTGCTGGTGGGGCTCGTTCAGGGTGATGGCGGGCCGGCTGATTTCAGGGGGGGCCTCTTTGTAAAACTCCTCCAGGCTCACCAGTTCGATTTCCTCGTGTTTTGACCTGCAAGGACAGAGGGATCAGATCAGGGAAGGGTGGGAAATGCCGCAGCAGGGCCAAACTCAACCATGCCTTGCAGGAGAGCGGTCAATGCCAACGCCCTGTGCCCCAGCTTCCCTCTGCTATGTGAAACACGGCAATGTCGGTGACCTGAACCGCAGCAGAGCTCAGTGGAGGAGAGAAAGGTCTGAACAGGGTCCCTCCTTTCACAGAGACACCTTCCCCAAACGATTAACCAAAGCGCTGTGTGAGGCACCAGTCTAAACACAGCCCAGAGCGCTGCCTGTGCAACAGGCAAGACGGAATGCTTGGCTTTCGGAGAAAACTCCTGATATATAGAGACCAGAGAGTCCTCGAAGAGACCAGCGTGGCCACATCTTTGACATTTACCTGTTTTCCCCTCCACCATCCCTCCATCACCATAGATGCCTTCTTCCCTCCTCCCTA